TAAACGATACATATAAATTTCATACAGATCGGATAATAACTCTTGTCGTTAAAGCATTCACAAGGTACAACAAAGTGAAACAAGGGCCATAAATCACAGCGTAATAAACGGGCCATAAATCACAGCTTCTTCGTTGCACTAATTTAAATGATGGATATCAATTTCAAACAGATCAGATGATAACTCTTGTCATTAGAGTGTTAACAAGATTCAACAAAGTGAAAAAAGGGCCATATGTAATTAATTGAAATTGCTGAAATTCAATAGGATTCTTTGTTTTACTAATTTAAATGATGCATATAAATTTCATACAGATCGGATGATAACTTTTGTCGTTAGAGCATTCACAAGGTACAACAAAGTGAAAAAAGGGCCATAACTCACGGCATAATTAATGGAAATTGCTGAAATTCAATAGACTTCTTCGTTTCACTAATTTAAATGATGCATATCAATTTCAAACAGATCGGATGATAACTGTTGTCATTAGAGCGTTCACAAGATTCAACAATGTGAAACAAGGGCCATAACTCAAGAGGTAATTAACACAAATTGCTGAAATTCAATAGGCTTCTTTGTTTTACTAACTAAGAGGGTGCATATACATTTCATACAGATCGGTCGATACATGTAACTTTTGTCGTTACAGCGTTCACAAGGTGCAACAACGTGAAACAAGGGCCATAACTCCAGAAGAAATTAACGTAAGTTATTGAAATTAAATAGGTTTCTTCATCTCACTAATGTAAACAAGCCAACAGTGAGGCTGATGTCCCCCGCCGAAATAGGAAAATAATTAGAGGACACATATAAAAATCAAATTGCGTATCGCTCTGCTTACCCTGAGCAGAAAATGCTCATTATCAAACTTAGTCAAGGTATTACTGTAATGAAACTATACACCAAGTTTCATCAATCTCACTTAATTAGAACTAAAGTTATCGTGTCCCAAAGCATCAACCAATCAAATTGCTTATCTCTGCTTACCCTAAGCGGAAAATGCTCATCTTCGAACTCCATCAAGGCATTGACCTAATCAACACATACACCAAGTTTGAACATTCTAGCTCAATTAGGAAGAGAGTTATCGTGCCCCAAAGTATCAACCAATCAAATTGCTTATCTCTGCTTACCCTAAGCGGAAAATGCTCATCTTCGAACTCCATCAAGGCATTGACCTAATAAACACATACACCAAGTTTGAACATTCTAGCTCAATTAAAAGTTATCGTGTCCCAAAGCATCAACCAATCAAATTGCTTATCTCTGCTTACCTTAAGCGGAAAATGCTCATCTTCGAACTCCATCAAGGCATTGACCTAATCAACACATACACCAAGTTTGAACATTCTAGCCCAATTAGGAAGAGAGTTATCGTGTCCCAAAGCATCAACCAATCAAATTGCTTATCTCTGCTTACCCTAAGCGGAAAATGCTCATCTTCGAACTCCATCAAGGCATTGACCTAATAAACACATACACCAAGTTTGAACATTCTAGCTCAATTAGGAAGAGAGTTATTGTGTCCCAAAAAGTGTGACGGACAGACAGACGGACAGACAGACGGACGAACCCATTTTAATAGTCCCCTGCTTTCTTCGAAAGGCGGGGGACAACAACATATATCAATTTCAAAACAATCAGATGATAAATGTAGTCTGTAGAGTGTTCACAAGAAATTACGATCACATTTTCATGTGGGGGTATAAAAATCTTCTTAATTATATTGCAAGAGTAATTTAACATTGTATTTATATACTTTAGTTTCGGCTCATCCTCTTTATTATGTCATTCATATGTTTCATGAATTTTCGTCAGTTTGATCAATTTGTCAGCGTGCTTCTTAGTGCAGAATTTGCACCAAGTCTAAAGACCAAACCAATTTTACAAACCCATTTTTGGCTATTTGCCCTCCAATAGTTCCAATTTTAAAATGTCGCATATTTGGCTGTTTCGACCATCTCCAGACATATTGATAGCGATAATCAATGCATTGCCAATGAGACAGGCCGTACATGAAAACATTTTAAACAACGTAATGTTATTATTAGACGTACGTCATTCTGTCATTCCCGCGGATATTCTCCATCAACATCCGGAGACATATTAGGCTGTCAAGTAACATCATATTCTATTGGCTGGTTTTGCCCTCCAGTAATTCCAATTTTAAAATGTTTTAGACTGCTATCCAATTAAAACGAGCCTTACATTAGCATTCAATATGTTTGACGAATAATTATGGCAGCCCTAGTTTTACCATGGAAACGCTCATCGCCCGAGGAGGTCATTATACTTGAATATATGCAGTTTTAAAAATAAACAACCAGCGGCTGCCAGTCAGGATACGCCCACATTTTCAAGAGATGGATAGACAACAAGCTAAAAAGAAAGTGATTTTTCCTACAATCAAGGGCCATAATTCAGGAAATTTCAAGTTTCATCAAAATAGTATTAAAATTGTGACCACTATAGGGTCGACAACCTTGATATACCATATTTTTACGCTATTTGAGAACCAAGGACGGCCATTTTGTCAGTTTTGGGCCGATTTTCACAAAATTCGAACTCAGCGGTCCTTAGCAAGGTGTAACGGTGATACAATAATTAAATCGGATAAAAATTATTACCACTATAGGGTCCACAAGCTAAAAACGTGATTTTTCGTACAATCAGGGGCCATAATTCAGGAAGTTACGGTCCGATATGCGCGAATATCGAAAGGAACCGAGATCTTTGGGTTATAATCTTACATTTCAAGTTTCAACAAAATCAGATATAAATTGTGACCTCTATAGGGTCCACAAACTTGATATACCATATTTTTACGCTATTTGAGAACGAAGGGTGGCCATTTTGTCTGTCAGTTTTGGGCTGATTTTCACGAAATTCAAACTCAGCCATCCTTAGGATGTAACGGTGATATAAAAATATGTTTTTATAAATCGGATAAAAATTATGACCTCTATAGGGTCCACAAGCTAAAAACGCGATTTTATGTACAATCAGGGGCCATAATTCAGGAAGTTACGGTCCGATATGCGCGAATATCCAAAGGAATTGAGATCTTTGGGTTATAAACTTATATTTCTAGTTTCAACAAAATCAGATAAAAATTGTGACCTCTATAGGGTCCACAACCTTGATATACCATATTTTTAGCTATTTGAGAACGAAGGGCGGCTATTTTGTCTTTCAGTTTCGGGCGGATTGTCACGAAATTTGAACTCAGCCGTCCTTACGGCGTAAAGGTGATATAATAATACGTTTTTTTTAAATCGGATAAAAATTATGACCTCTATAGGGTCCACAAGCTAAAAACGCGATTTGTCGTACAATCCGGGGGCATAATTCCAATAAATTACTGTCCGATATGCGCAAATATCGAAAGGAACCGAGATCTTTGGGTTATAAACATACATTTCAAGTTTCAACAAAATCAGATAAAAATTGTGACCTCTATAAGGTCCACAACCTTGATATACCATATTTTTACGCTATTTGAGAACGAACGGCGGCCATTTTGTCTGTTAGTTTTGGGCCGATTTTCACGAAATTCGAACTCAGCCGTCTTAAACGTGAAGGACTGGTCAATTTGTTGTAATATAACTCATGAAGTTGATATACTTTACTTCTAAATGTTGGTATATTATCTCAAAAAGAAGTGACATTAATACACTTTCATACTTAGTAGAGGAGCTAGCTGACCGTTGTTCCTTCGCTACAAATGTTCACGTTGCTAAGGCAAACTTTAAAAGTGCCATTCAGAACAAAAATTCCCTGGCCTCTTGCTTAAGAACACCTCCTAGTGACCCGAGTACGTAGGTTTATTTCAAATATGACGGACAACTCACTGGTCTTCAAAGGAATTATCTGTTAGCAGATATTCGCCCATGCTCGTTACTTTAGTCAGTTATATAGAAGGATAACTTGTGTTTTCCTTTTGCTATTGTCACTTCCGTTTCTTGAAATCTTCGTAACTCATCTACCGTATCAGCTGAAACAGGAATCAAAGTTGTCCGTCATATTTGAAATAAACCTATATCTACTGGGGTCAGTAGGGGGGTTCTGAAGTGCAGAAACCAGCTGATATTCTCTTCTGACTGACACTTTCTATTTATAGGTCAATTGTGGCACCATGCTCAATATAAAAATACTTCGGGTTTTCGAAGTTACAGTATTTCCGGTTTTGGAGAAAGCTTGGTATTCCGAAACGCTGTGTGATCCGAAATATTGTAACGATCCTGTACGATGTCGGATGTGACAGAGTCCACTGTATTTACTTTGGGACCAAACCATATCAGGAAAATGGAATCAAAGTTGTTCGTCATATTTGAAATAAACCTATGTACTCGTGTCACTAGGGTGTGTTCTGAAGCCATAAGCCAGGAGATTTCTTGTTCTGAAGAACACTTTTAAAGTTTGCCTAGCAACGTGAACATATGTAGCGAAGATTAACTTTGTCTGCAAAAAATTGAATTAAATCAACTTTTTCTGCGATTTCGGGGGTGTACAGCCCCTAAACCCAGCGGATGTGCAACTTAAGAATTCCCATTCTGATCATCGGCCGTCATGGTGCCTCCGTTAGGCATAGTACCAATTTTGTCCTCTAGTTTAGGAACAATAGTCAGCTAGCTCCCCTACTAACTAGATGATCATGGCCGCTAACAACATTGATCACGAAAGTTGACAGTGTAACATTTTTACCCAACATCACATTTTTAATTGACATTATGTTTGTGTTGTGATAACGGGTAAGCTTTGTCTTTGTGATGTTGAGTAGAAATGTTGTGATGACAGGTGGTCACCTTTTGAAAGGCAACATCACGACATGGTATGAATCAACCATATACATTTATTATCATATTATTTGCCTAGATGCCATGTAATCACTAAGTAATAAAGGATGTTACTTTAGAATCATGAAATGGTATTTTATGTTAGGCCAAAAGTGTTTTACACCAACTACCCAAATTTAATCACCCAATACAGCACTCACTCACCAACAAGTTCTTGTGAATCATCATCAACCATTTCAGCTTCCACTGCATCCAGCATTGCCAGTTCGGCTTCAAAAGCTGATGGATCTTCATAATCAAATCTTCAAAATCATAAATTTTATTATATACCTACTCGACAAATTGTTGTAATTTTCAAATAAGAATTTCTAATAAACAAATTTCTTCTTCTAAAAAATAATGCTACTACCATATAGTAACTACAGTATAAGCATTTCAAATTCATCTGCAATAGCAGTAAACAAGAAACAAATCAAAGCTAAAGATAACTATATCATTACCATACAATTGAAACTAATTTCAAATACATTTAGTAAAGATAGGTTGCCAAGCAACTAAACATACGCCTACAGCAGCTAAGTCATCCCAGCAGTCAACAAGAGTTGTCGCATATTTTTTCTATTGTCGGTAACGAAACATTTATAATACACTAAAATCTGATTAAGAGTAACAACTCTTTAAGTAATCATCAGAAAATCATTAAAATTTGTTTGGCTCTTAGTTCTGCCCCATGCTAAAGTTTAGTATATGAAACATTTAATATCATGGATTTAGCTGTTCCAAGTTCAAAACTCATTGAAAATCATACTCTTCAAAAAAAGTAGGGGATATTCAGAAACAATACAAAACTGCGGAAATGCACTGCTGTTTTTATTAGAGGTAACAGGGGCGTAAAAAAATTTTTGAATCCACTAGCCCAGGGCTAGTAGTCTACTGTCAGGCACTAGCCCGGCATTAATATCCAGTAGTCCATAGTTCGACAAGGTACAAGATTTAATCTCCAATATTTGGGTATAGGTTTTGTTGCCTGCCAACCTATCGTTTTTAATAAAGATCGTAGACTTGATTGCCTAATAATTAAGGATGTATGCGGGTACTTGGTTAACCAGTCACAGTGCGGTTGTAGTGGTGAAATGGTTCAAAAACCTACAAACCGATTCGTTTTCATATCATATCTGACCTTCAAAACCAGGAATGGTAGCCACAACAATGTTTTCTTTCACTAAAGACCATATAAATACTTCATATCTAGCACATGTCATTTGTAATATATCACGGTAAATTTATGTCCTTTAATTCCCGCTCGAAGATTTGTATACGTTACCGTTACGTTATTATTGGCACTTACTGCAAAACACAAGACAGTGACTGATTAACAAATTAGTTGTTTTACCATATTTATTTACCTGGTCAATCTATAAAGAGTCTCAAAATGAAACAAATCAGTTTGATGTGCTGATATAATATTAAAATAGACAGGATAGTAAAATTGTTTATATTTTCACTCCAGTGCCATGCTGTGTGCCGATAGGGTCAAAGTTGATGACACACAGGTCACTGGAACTATTCAATTCATCATGGCGTTTGTTCAATGAACACATGTAGTAAATTCTTTCGAAATACCCGACATGTTAAGTAATCAAAATTATCTTGTATTTAAAATACAAAGGTATGCTTTCAAATATTTATGTCAGAACTAATCTAATATAAAGTTTAAGTGAGTCTTTTGTTTTTAAATCAACCTGATTTCAACTGGTTTATACGTGAACTGTCAAAGTGTGCAAGATGGAGAAATGAAATGTCAAGAATGAATGAATAGAAGGGGTACAAAAAATGTCCATACTACAGAAAATCTATTGTTATGGTTGAGTTTTTCTTGGAATTTGAGAACTAAATGTGGCATATTTTATCTATATCGTCACTAGTTTAATTCACAAACCAGTGAAAGGGCACTAGCCCAGGACTACTACGTCTAAATAAATCACTAGCCCGTAAGTTATTTTTGGTAGCCCCCGGGCATCGAGCTAGTGGATTTTTAGAACCCTGATACGTAACCAGTGTATGTTAATAAAAGGCCAATTGCCTACACATGAACATAAAACTGTTCATATGGGTGGCTTATCCGACTGCCCCATTTCACTTGCAAAGAGATACACGGTCAAAAGTGAAAATGGACGTTTTTGATTTTTGCCTTAATAATGGGTAATTGCTCCACCAATCCTCAGACATTCAGCAATTCGTCGTGGCATGCTCCTAATCAACCGTCCATTCACGATTTGCGGCAATCTGACCCACTTCTCTTGCAGTGCCACGGCCAATTCTTGCAGTGTTGTCGGTTGACGTTGACGAACACGTCTCCCCATCAAATTAAACTAACACACTATTTAAGCAAAGATACGCTTAACAGTAAATCTTATGAAAGAACTGATAGGAAAGCAAACATGGATAAGATAAACCAGGAAACAGCAGTATTCAGCAACCCTTCCTTGAAGTGTCAAATTTGACAATGAACCCCTCCCACATGTATGGCGCTTTTGCGTGTCGCATGTGCAGCTCAGTGCTTCTGTTGGGGCGATAAGTTCTTCATCTGTGAACATACTCTCAAAGCATGTCAAGTGTCCATGACTATTTATCATATGACAACCTGCATAGGTATTTGCATTTCAATATCCCCCACTTTTTTTGAAGAGTATACTTGTTCGTCTCTGTTATCAATCTAAAGTCAATCAGTTGATAACTTTGCTCTCTAGAGCATAATTTTTTAAAAGTAATCAAGGGCCAAAACTCTGGCAGTAATTATCGGAAATCGTTGAAAATCAATAGACTTCTTCGTCTCATGACTTTATACACAGTGTATAAATTTAAAGTCAATCAGATAATAACTTTAGACTCTAGAGCATCCACAAGATTTTTCAAGTTGATCAAGGGCCATAACTCTGGTAATAATTATCAGAAATCGTTGAAAATCAATAGGATTCTTCATCTCATGACCTTAAACACTGTGTATAAATCTACTAAAGTCAATCGGATAATAACTTTAGCATCTCTAGAGCATCCACAAGAATTTTCAAAGTGATCAAGGGCCATATTGGATATAGGTGAAAATAAATAAGCTTCTTCGTTTTATGACCTTAAACAATGTGTATAAATTTAAGATCAATTGGATATCAACTAAAGCCTCTAGAGCGTCCACAAGTAATTGTGGACTCTGGACCGACCGACAGCTGGACGGACGGGGGCGACGCCAATATATAACCACAATTCAATGTGTTCGTTTAAATACTTATTGTTGATCTTTTTCTTTTTAGTTTAAAATTGGAGAACTTCATTCATTGCCATATTTTAATATGTATTCATTATCCAATAGTAAGATATAAAATAATTTCAGAATGCACAAACCAAAATACAAATCATTTTGCCTTTGGTTAATGGTTAACAGTTGTGATGTTATGAGACAAACTGTTGGTGCAAATAAACAAATATGCACTTCATACTGTAATGTATTCGATAAAGTTTGATACAATAACTTTGTTAATTAAGTCTGTGAAATGACTATAACAAATGGAAATAGTGCATTTATTTACAGTAGCTTACAATTCCTTCATAATAGTACAACCACAGAACTAATTTTGTTCAATTATAAGGTGGAAAAATTTGTAGGCCTACTCTAGATTGTGCATACTTGAAAATAATGAATAATCAACCCCTTCTTTAAAACCCTGTATTGCTTACTTTCCCTTTTTAGCTGGTGTGAAATTATTTGTACTTTTTTTCCTTTTGTCCATTTTTCTGCAGTAATATTTTTTTTTTTTTTTTATGATTCGACGTGCCTTGTATCTGAAATTATAAAAACATTTTTTTAGTTTTAGATAGATTATACAGTGTTATTTATGGTAGCATGATGTTTTGCTTCCACACCCTTTCGAACTCCACACAAACAGCGTTCAGAATCAGTGATCCATGTGCTGTACTTTATGACGAACAGTAGATTATACCTGCCTATTTTGGCTTATTATAATTATAAAGTGATTGATGGTTATCAACATAGCCCGAGTATCATTTAATTTTGTGTATTTAGCACTAATATCTTTCACATTTATTCAATATCAAATCTTTGTTTAAAGATACGTTGCCAGGCAACTAAACATACGCCCACAGCAGCTATATCGTCCAGGCAGTCAACACGCATATTTTTAATTTTTTTCGGTAATGAAACATTTATAATACACTAAAATCTGATTAAGAGTAACAACTCCTGAAGAAATGATCACAAAATCATTAGAATTTGTTTGGTTTTTATAAAGTTCTGCCCCATGCTAACGTTTAGTATACAAAACTTTTAATATCATGGATTAAGCTGTTCAAGTCATGAAAATTTATTTGTTCGTATCAAGATCTTAAACTCTGTGTATCAATCTGAAGTCAATCGGATGATAACTTTAGCCTCTAGAACGTCACAAGATTTTTCAAAGTGATCAAGGGCCATAACTTTGGCAGTAATTATTGTAAATTGCTGAAATCAATAGGATTCTTCGTCTCATGACTTTATGCACTGTGTATAAATTTAAAGTCAACCGGATATTGACTTTGGCCTCTAGAGCGTCCACAAGATTTTTTGAAGTGATCAAAGGCCATAACTCTCGCAGTAATTATCGAAAATCGCTCAAAATCAATAAGCTTCGCCTCATGACCTTAAACACTGTGTATAAATTTAAAGTCAATCGGATATTAACTTGAGCCTCTAGAGCGTCCACAAGATTTTTCAAAGTGATCAAGGGCCATAACAATGTGTATAAATTTAAAGTCAATCGGATATTAACTTTGGCCCCTAGAGCCTCCGCAAGATTTTTTGAAGTGATCATGTGCCATAACTCTGGCAGTAATTATCGAAAATCTCTGAAAATGAATAGACATCTTCGTCTCATGACCATAAACACTGTGTATAAATTTCAAGTGAATCAGATATTAACTTTAGCCTCTAAACTGTCCACAAGATTTTTCAAAGTGATCAAGGACCATAACTCTGGCAGTAATTATCTGAAATCCCTGAAAATCAATCGGCTTCTTCGTCTCATGACATTTAACACTGTGTATAAATTTAACTTCAATCGGATATTAACTTCAGCCTCTAGAGCGTCCACAAGATTTTCTGAAGTGATCAAAAGCCATAACTCTCGCAGTAAATATCGAAAATTGCTGAAAATCAAGAGGCTTCTTCGCCTCATGACCTTAAACACTGTGTATAAATTTAAAGTCAATCGGATATTAACTTGAGCCTCTAGAACTTCATCAAGGCATTGGCCTAACCAACACCTACACCAAGTTTGAACATTCTAGCTCAATTAAAAGTGGAGTTATTGTGTTTCAAAGTCTCAGCCAATCAAATTGTTTATCCCTCTTCTTACCCGGAGCAGAAAATGCTCATTATCGAACTTAGTCAGGGTTTCGTTACATCAATACATTGACTAAGTTCGATAATGAACATTTTCTGCTGAGGGTAAGCAGAGCGATAAGCAATTTAATTGGTTGATGCTTTGGGACACGGTAACTTTAATTCTAACTAGAACTGCGATGCAGTAATGACGGGTTTCACCGGTGCCACGTTACCCTTAAACATGTCACTTCCGGTACCAATGAAACCATTAAACAGGTTTCCACATAAGCATTGCACACATCAAATAAAATGGACGCAGAATCAACCAAATCCAGCAAAATCAATTCCTTTTACATTTGTTACTTGTAAGTGATAATGAAAATGTTCAATTAGTTTTATGAAATCAGAAATGGCATAAGGCATCACATGGTGAAAATTTTATGTAAATTGAATAATAATTGCCACTTTTATAGACCAAAAACCTTGAAAAGTGACTGATAGAAAATCATCTATGTCTCTGCAAGCATACAAGTTAGAAACCAGTTTTTGGTATCTGTGTGATCGTGTGGGTTCAATCTATTTTTTGATTGGAATCAAATATCATAATTTTAAAAAAAATACAAATCAGAAATTTGAATAAAATATCTGTTTTGAAGGCTAAAAATACAGTTTTTGCCAAAATGACGTTACTTCCGCTGACAGTAAAAATGTTAAATTACTTGTATGAAATCGTAAATAGCATTAGGTATCACACACTGTAAATTTTATGAAAATCGAATAATAATTGACACTTTTATGGAACAAAAACCTTGAAAAATTACCTGTTGAAAATCGTCAATTCTCCGCAACTGAACAAGTTACATGTAGAAACCATTTTGTTATATCTATATGATTGTATGGGTTCATTCTATATATTGGTTGATTGGAATCAAATATCAAAATTTTAAACAAATAACAAATACGACTCATTTGAATAAATTACTGGTTTTGAAGGCTATAAATACAATTTTTGCCCATTGAAAATGTTAAATTGGTTTGACCTAGTTAAAATTGACATTATACATCAAATGTTGTCACTTTTATGAAAATCGAATAATAATTGACTCTTTTACGGGCAAATTAGCGTAAAAAGGGACTCATGCAAAATTTTCTATTTCTCGGCTGCTCATATTACAAACTAATTTTCACATACATTCTCTTCGTATGGATTATTGCTACTAGTTTATGAAAGTTGCGAAAAAATATATTAAAATATGAAAAGCCTGAATGGGTTATGAATAGCTCATTTTTTCACCTTTTTTCACCTTTAAATCGAAATGATCTGAAAACGAAATAAAAAAATAAAAAAACAGAGCATGATGATTTCTGCGCCTTAACAGGGCACACCTTTTCCGTCATACCAGATTTGAAAAAAATAATATTTGCTTTCAAAAAGTGGTACCGAACAGTCAAAATTGCAGTTTTTGCTAAATTTACGTCACTTCCGTTGCCGAAAGGAAAATGTACCAGTAACAAAAAAAATGACATTTTGGACCACGGAGCAAATGAACATTGTTTTATACAAATCGAAGACTAAATAATTAATCCAGGACTGAAAAACTGAATTAGCCAATGGAGGCCGAGGAAAAATACGGTGACAAAAATTGTTGCTATTTTTGGTCAAATCAGATGACTCTTTAACCGTAGGTAAAATACCACATAAAAATATTCATTAATAAAAAAGTATTTCGTAAAAATTTAAATTTTTAAAATTTGGCGCCTAATATCTCCTAAGATTCGTCGAAAATAAAAAATATAAAGACCTGTAGCTATGTGCCTTGTCAAAATGTATCAAATATTACAATCCGACAATCATTGATAACATTACGGCAAAATTTGGAAAAACGACAACTTCGGTGATTTCAGACATTTCGCATTGTCGCAGAACGTTAGAAATAGCTTTAAAATTTAAATCAAACCCACTTTCCCTGTAAAACCGAAGACATCGAATCGATCAGACCAGTAGTTTCCGAGATATGCTCAAATGGAAAAATAATAATAATAATAAGAACTAGACCTTAGGGCTATCCAATGACACAATAAAAGAGCATTTTCAGCAATTTAAGGATTTTTCAACTTTTTTCAAAGATTGAGGCCCTTTTTGGACCGCTTATATTATTTCAATGCTTTTCTTTTTGAATTCACGCCATAGACCACCGATAAAACTCTGCGTTAAGAACGTTTCAGAAAAATGGTATTTGTCGTTTTCGAGAAAAAGGCGTCTCAAAAGGCTAAAAAACGGAAAATACTACATTTTCGGCGTACCATAATTTATTTTCTAACCATTAAAATCGTATCATTCAGATGTCCTATGACAGTCCATTAATGGGGCTATCCAACGACACTTTAGTTTTTTAGGTCTGCTAACATCTGATGGAGAAATCAAGTTTTTCGCAAGAGCGCTATTTTTTTTTTTTAACCCTTTTCTTCATTTTTTTAATACTTCCGGTATGGAGATTATTGTCGGGATAGTTTTAATAATCGGATTGGTCTATTAAATAGCCACAGGGCTCGGTAATGATATATTACATTATCTGATCAGATAAATTCCCCTGAGAAAACCTATGTTCAAAAGTGCCAAAAATGCAAAAAATATCAAAATATCAAAAATTAAATTTCAATAACTCAAATTATATTATATATCGTTCGAATCGTAATTAGGTCAGCTATCTGATTATGTAATCTTTTTGTAAAAATTTGTTTAAATAATAAAGTAATAGAGCGTTTTCCAAAATTTGACGATTTTTCGACTTTTTTCGATTCTCGGTCCCTTTTTTGTCCTATTCCAATTATTTCAACGTCTTATTGGATGGCTTCATGCAAAAGACTACTGAAGGGACTCTCGATAGGGAAAGTTTAAGAAAATTTGCTTGAGCCGTTTTCGAGATATAGGCGTCCAAAAACGCTCCAAATCAGAAAATACTTGATTTTCAGTGTGACATATTTTGTTTCCTGCTCATCGTATCTGTATGAATTGGGTATCATTCAGTGGTCCAATCACCGCCCGACCCAATGATACCTTAATTTGTTTAATCCGTTGATATTCATATTTCGCGTTTTTTCAAAATTTTGCATATTATTTCGACTAATTCCGGTTTACGGATTGTTGTTGAAATTGCTTTATTCGATGGTCTGACCATATGGCTTTATGTTCCAAGAGTTTCAGAAACATCGAGTAATCCTTAAAAAAAAAATATGAGGGTTATAAAATGGGCAGAAAATTCGAAAAAAATCGAAAAATAAAGGGCAATAACTCTGAGTGAAACTTATATTATTGGAACCGGATGGACCTCAGGTATCCAAGAATGTAGGTCAAATTTGAAAAATAACAAAAATTGTCTCATAAACAACCTATCACCACTTTGTGATATCTATATGATTGTATGGGTTCATTCTTTTAGTTGATTAGAATAAAATATCAAAATCTTAAACAAACAACAAATATGACTCATTTGAATAAATAATTTATTCAAAGGCTATAAATACTGTTTTTGCCCAATCATCGTCATTTCCAGTGACACTGAAAATGTTAAATTGAGTTGAACTAGTCACAATTGACATAATGCATCAAATGGTGTCAATAATAATTGACTCTTTTACAGACACAATAGCGTAAAGAGTGACTCATGCAAAATTAACCATTTCTCGGCATTCAAATTAATTTTCACATACATTCTCTCCGTAAAGTTAGACTATTGCTACGAGTTTTTGAAAGTTACAAAGTAATAGGCCTATTTTAAAAAATGAAAACGCTGGATGGGTTGTAACTAGCTTAATGTTACACCTTTTTTCACCTTTTAATCGAAATAGCCCGAAAACGGAAACGAAATTAAAAAAATTGAGCTCGACATTTTGTGTGCCTTTAAAGGGTGCACCCTTTCAGTTATACCAGATTTGAAAAAATTAATATTTGCTTTTGAAAAATGGTACCTAACTGTCAAAATTATAGTTTTTGGTAAAATTACGCCACTTCCGGTGTCGACAAATAACCCTATCGGTAACAAAACCAGCGGCTGCCAGGCAGGATACGCCCACATTTTCGAGAGATGGATAGAGAACAAGCTAAAAAGAAAGTGATTTTTTGTACAATCAGAGGCCATAATTCAGGAAGTTACGGTCCGATATGCGCGAATATCAAAAGGAACCGAGATCTTTGGGTTACAAACTTACATTTCAAGTTTCAACAAAATCGGATATTTTTACGCTATTTGAGAACGAACGACAGCCATTTTGTCTGTCAATTTTGGGCCGATTTTCACGAAATTCGAACTCAGCCGTCCTTAGGGTGTAACGGTGATAAAATAATAAGTTTTTTTAAATCGGATAAAAATTATGACCTCTATAGGGTCCACAAGCTAAAAACACAATTTTTTTATACAATCAGGGTCCATAATTCTCGAAGTTACGCTCCGATATGCCCGAATATCGAAAGGAACTGAGATCTTTGGGTTATAAACTTACATTTCAAGTTTCATCAAAATAGGATTAAAATTGAGACCTCTATAGGGTCCACAAGCTTGATATACCATATTTTTTACGCTATTTGAGAACGAAGGGCGACCATTTTTTCTTTCAGTTTTGGGCCGATTTTCACGAAATCCGAACTCAGCTGTCCTTAGGGTGTAACAGTGATATAATACAGGGTTTTTTTAAATCGGATAAAAATTATGACTTCTAGTTCTATAGGGTCCACAAGCTAAAAACGTGATTTTTTGTACAATCAGGGGCCATAATTCAGGAAGTTACAGTCCGATATGCGCAAATATTGAAAGGAACCGAGATCTTTGGGTTATAAACTTACATTTCAAGTTTCAACCAAATCGGATAAAAATTGTGACCTCTATAGGGTCCACAAGCTAAAAATGTGATTTTTCGCACAAACAGGGGCCATAATCCATGAAGTTTCGATCCGATACATGCCAATATCGAAAACAGCCGAGATCTTTTGGGGATAAACCTATATTTCAAGTTTCGTCGAAATCGTATCAGAATTGTGACCTGTAGAGAGTCCACAAACAATTGTGGACGGACGGCATGATACGTCCACATGAAAATGTGGGCGTATAAAAACTAGCGGTTAGCCGTCCGTACTGTAACTGTGTCCACATGAAACTTCCTACTTTCAATAGTAGGGTGCCCCGTGGCAAAAACTTTTCCCTACTAAAAGTTGTACTCGACACGTTGAATGTGCACGCTTCAGTGACGAAACTCTAATTGATTTCAGACGAGTCTCTGGCTCTCTTTGTGTCTATAAATAGCCACAGCACGTGAAATTCTCAAAACTTGTAATAACTATAACAGACGTACAAAATCTATTGTTGACGATTCTGAATAGCAGTAATATTTAGCTTTTTGGTTATTACTGCAGCTTTAGAAATTACGCTCGTTTTATTTTTTAAATTGCTTTATCATTAACTAGACCGTTAGCAGTGGCATCTTTTGGTTTAGTACAAATAATATCTCTGAATAACGCGGGTTGGGCAGGAAAATGATACTAGCAGTAGTTTCATTTCACTTTTACAAGGTTCTTAAAACAATTGTTGTGTCGCCCACAGGGCGTTATTTCTAAATTCAATTTCTTGTTCTAGCTTTCTGTCATGTTTCGTAAAAAAAGTAGTCTTGATTATCCCGGCCTGTCAATCAGACGGAGAATGGTCGGTAGACTGGTTAAGTGAGACTAATTTCAAAACAAGGGCACGTAACCTATTTTTTGCTCATAAGTGGAGGCAGACCACCATTAAATTTCATCATCTCGGTACCCACGAATTGTAGTTCGTCTATTTATAGCAATTCTCTCTCTCTCATTTCTCCCCTTTTGCATGCCCATTTGTGTTGATTTTTTGGTCTAGAATGGACGAAGAGGGTTTGAATTAACATTTTCTGCCAGGTTTTGGTAAATATTCATGATTTTGAGGCGGAAGGATAAGAGGGTTATCAGGTTAGCTACGGCGATATGTACGGCAACTAGTTACATGTTTTTAGTATGCTTCTTCAAGTTTGTGTATCTCAAAATTTTGGTGGTCAACCTCATACAAATTTTAGTGCAAAGACATGACCATTTGTTCCTCTGTCTGTAGTGAAAAGTATTCAGCCCAACGAAAATTTGGGGAAAAGTTGGAGGTGGGCAAAGAGGCCAGAATTAACATTGAATAATTGAAGTCAATGGGGAAATTAATGGTGGTCTGCCTCCAAGTGTCTGGATGTCATGATGGACGACACTCCGAACCATTATTCAGTGTATTATTTACAGATGGTTAAATGGTCATTTAGTGACCATAATTGTGCGAAACTGATTTAAAGCTTAGTAAATATATATAAGTATTATGGTGTAATTGTCGAGATATTTGGAGATATTTATTTATGGTGGGGCAGCCTACTATTGTCAATAGTCTTTGGGTTAGGAATAGGCCATAGGGTTAGGAATAGGGTTAGGATCAGATTTAAGATTAAAACCTATAACACAAAAATGGGAGTTACATCTAACATAAATGGTAGCCGAGAATCTGAAAGGACTTACAAGATGTAGATTGACAACAAAAAGTCCCTGTGGCTCAGAATAATCTGACTAAAATAAAATATTCCGCGAAATGAAAAACAGTCACTTCCCGCGCTAACTACTAAAAAAAACATAACAAAAAACCTGCATTTCATACCAACGAAACGAAATCTAGTTCTTCGTATTATCTATAACTGTAACCACGATAAGAAATAATAAGTAAATAGTTAAATAATCAGCTATTTTACGGGATGACTTCTGTTGAACAAAAGGACGTTGGCAAATAGTAAATTAAACAGACTACTAATTTCCCAATAATAATTCGTTCCATCAGCATTACAGAGAATAAATTTGGCGGTAGCACGATTTACCCAAATTCACCGGGAGTATGGAAGGGTATCGCTGCCAATATTAAATGCTCTGCGACAATGTTGTTTCCATTGATTATATGTAAAAAGTACAATGTACAAATGAAATGATGAAAGGAAATGGGGTTTAACGTCCTTCTGTTCTGCTCCTAACCTGGGCTAATGAAGACGGGCATACGCCATACAGTGTGCTATGAGGGAAATTTTGCCCTGTCAGCGGCGCTACGGCCTACTCTTATATCGAATTCCAACTGTCAAGGGATCTTTTACGTGAACACCAGTGTTTACACGGGACCTCGGTTTTTCGTCCCATCCGAACGACTAGACAGCTGTTCTTGTCAGGCCCTCTGTCCTGCATCACTGACAAGGGGAAACCACGTCGGGATGAACTTTCTCCCTCAATGCAGGGATCGAACACCCGACCTCCAGGATAAACAATGTACAAAGTCCTAATACCGATAATGATCAAGTCAAAATACCTCTAAGACAAGAGTTAAATGTAAAACGTCAAATGTTAAGTGTTAAATGACAAATGTTTTGTGAGAAAATGCTTTTTTGACGTGTCTACATTTTACATTTCTCTCATTACATTTTACATTTGCGCTCTGCCACACCCCATTTGTCCTTCGTGCTTTCTACATAGGCCCTAGCAACTTTCGCACAGCATCAACTTCCATATGCAAATGTAGGATTATTACCACAGAGTCTGTGATATTACTACTGCCACTGGAGTTGAAGTCGGCGCCATTTTTGTTTTAGTTGTTTGCCGCTTGAGTTGCTGTGCCGTGTTATTCACACTTCAAATCAAGTTATTTTCATATTAAACGTTCATTAAGTCGATATTTATATGTCCCCTGTGCGTCAAGACGTACTTACATGTTTTATCCAAAGTTACATTATCTATAGGTCTTTTTGGTAAAAAGTTTACAGACTCATTTTTTCCGCCCGCACGGATCGGCGCATGTGCATATATGCAAGAGCTAAATCTGCCTAATTGCAGGTAGGCCTAATTCTTTAGGCCTGAAATGTTATCTAAATTATTAATTAGACACTAATCAACTTATCCAGACTGTAATCAACTCTCGACTAGGATACTGTTTGCTGCTCAACTTTCCTTTGTGATTCCATCATGAAATGGATAATTGAGACTATGTCTTTTATTGCACTGACTTAAGTAATGATGATCGACGCTCGGCCGAAAATTCAATCGCTAAATTCTTGGTTCAGAGTGGATCAATTTGACCTAAATTTTCAGCAAATTCCTGTTACATTATTTAGTTTTTAACAATTATAGTGAAAACTGTCAGCTCTTTATCTAACCTCCCATAATGTATCCTTTTAGAAAATAACATTTTAAGACATTTTAATGCAAAGTATATATATAATAGACGAAAACCTCAAAAAACTATTCCCGCTTACTGAGCACGCAGAAAGGGGTACGCCCATTTTGATACAGAGTGGTCGTACCCTTTATTTATTAAACCCACGAATCTTGCCTCGAATCCGGGTGCCTGTACCCTCGCGATGATATTACTCAATACGCCAAGATAGAAAGTTAATGAAATTGTGCTATTCATACCTTATGCATCTGTCCATTTGATGAAATAAAGATCTTGGAGTCACTAAAGTTATTGTGTGCACAGTGCACCTACCTTAACCCAATTCGCCATATTTTTAGTATGTTTACGGTAATATATCTCAAAAAGCCAACATAGAAGACTTTTGGAACTTTGTACTCTAGTTTTTTTTTCACCCCTTGCTGGTTTCGATGCCTCTTGGTGCAAAATGGACGTACCCTTTTTTGCGTGCTCAGTTTGCCCAGTGTGCAATATTTTAGTATATTTACAGTAATAGTTTTTTGGGGTTTTTTGCATGTGTATTATATATACTTTGCATTAATATGTCTTAAATGATATTTTCTAATACGAAGGTAGCAATTATTTTCGTGATAATTATAATAGGTTTTTATTGGAGTAGGAATGTTTCATTTCGAAATTCGAATCCTGGTCTACGGGTGAGAGATTCCGCTCGGTAGACAACATTATCCAATGTCATTACAATCAAAAGTCTCAAATTTATCTGACAATATTCTAGAAAGAACATCCAGCTGAACTTTAATATCGTGAATTGAACGCAGATATTTGAATTTATGACATAATTTTTTAATTCTACTGTGAGAATCTGATAAAATTTCCTCAACCATTGCTGTCTGCTTTACTTTCCCAGTGTCATCGAAAGTTATCTTTTCTTCTTTGGAGCATTCATTTTAACAATTTTACATGTAACCCGATGACCTTTGACCCCAAGAACTCACGATTTGTTAAAAGACAAAAGACAAATGTCAACTGACAAAGTTACTTTGTTGAAGTGTATATGTGAATAAGTTGTGTTGTTTGTAACCTTAGTGTATTTTTTTTCAAAATGCATTTGTAATTTGACTTTAACATTAACAGCATTATATATTTTTATAACAACATTTGTATTTTGCATCTTATGTTTTAGGTACTTTCTATGATGTATGATAACACTTTTAACATACATTTAGTTTTGGCCCTTACAGTGGCTAAGTCGCTTATATTTGTGACCAAGAAATTGACACAAATGGGTCACAACGCATACAATAATGTAATATGAATGTATATAAATTGATTTACATTCAATCGTTTCTGTTTTTACTGTAATTTCTAATCAGTTAGGTTCGGCGAAATACGCCAGTATTCTCCATCGAATTTCAATCTCTAGCGACTGGTTATTCCAGCCTACGCCAATAGTATTTATTGGGCATGCTCTCCAGATAAGAATATAGCGTCTCCATTTGACATGACCCGTGGAATATGCCTAGCCTCGTTTTTCGAGTCCCTTATTATAAATAGCGCTGAAACGTATTATGGTACACGAATCGTTTATTTTGTCTTAAATATTGGATACCAAAAGGCCATCTTTATGATCTTTTCCCGGTAAGATCCCAACATCAATGCTGATTTAAACCGACAAATAAATCGTGTTTTCAATGTCGAAGATTTTGGATGATATTGAGTTAGAGACTTAGCTACTTTAAATTCCGCCATAATATTTTAGCCTATTATTTACCATGGTCTCAAGTGTTTTACACAACGTAGAGGTCAAACTTATCGGCCTGTAAGAACCGGTCTCATTTTTATCTTTTAATCGTTTAATCAACAGGATTATCGTTGCTGTTTCCAGCTTGTATGAATTTTTCCTTCTGACCATGATTGATTGAATAATTCAAGATGTAAATTACGTAATGCCCCTGAGAGTTTTCTTAACATGCTATATTTTATTTGATCTTCGTCAGCCGCCGAGTCAATTTTGCCACTTAAATTAAACCTCATACACCTCGCAGCGTTTCGTTTGATTAGAGCTAATCCCACTACTCACTGCTGTAAAGAAAGCAAATTCTTGTTCCAAATTATGACTGGTCAATAGTCCGATTAACAACCAATAGCTAACTGCGTAACAATGTCATTACGCTTTAAACAGAGCTCCAAATTGGACAAAATATGTTTACATAACGTTACGTCATGAGTTACGATTTTATTATGCCCAATTAACCAGTGCATAGCAGAATATTGCAGAAAAAACTAATTGTGTGACAAACGAGGCTATCAATAAACAATACTGTTTTGAGACGAACAACACTTTCACCGTTTTTAATACCTTAAATGACTGTCCAAAGTTTTAGAGAAGACCCCAGATTAAACGAAGGCTGCCATGTTGCTGTGCTTGGGGATAGATTTGATTGAACGGGAAGAATAGACACACTCCCGCAAAAGCGCAAGTATTAGAAGCTAATGCTGCCACTGCCTCCTGATGTATAGATCTTCTTTACGGAACAGTCCTGGGGGTAGGGTTGGACTTGGTCTCAGATGAAGCAAATCATTCGGTGTGAGTGGGTTCTCATCACTAGCACTGTCACTTACTCTTGTAACTGGACGATTATTTAAAATCAATAACGTGGGAATTTAGCTGCGAGCTGTGACCAAGTGGTATCAAACCTCCGAAATATTGCTTAAAATGAGTTCATTTAACTTTTCTACACAAAATATAATTAGAAAGGAACATATTTACAATTAAAAAGAACTGAACCGAAATGAAATGAAATGAAATGGGGTTTAACGTCCTACTGTTCTACTCCTATACTGGGCTAATGAAGACGGAAGAACTGAACTCGTGTACCTGAACATGGCGATTAAGGGTAACTATCATCAGTCGATCCAGATAAGAAATATTCTAAGGCCCCTTGAAGTGTACTCAAAAATATTTGATATGCTAACGGAGATAGATGTACCCCGTCCTCCGCAGATTTTATCACGGCAGATGTCTGGATATCTGATATAACGACCACCATGTTTTATAATGTATCTGGAGGATGAACTATTAATGCGCTTTCTAGAAGTGTCCATAACATGACCATTAGACGAACAACGCCAACGTAGGCGAGGCAAAATTTGTGACCAGATTAAAGTTGTGTTTTGCAATTTGGTGTCTATATTATTTGCCAATGTATCTTTTATTTCATTCCGAAGGAAGCCGCCTTTAGTTTTGCCAATATCGTTCCCAGAAACATGCAAGACCAAGTAGCTTAAGACGGGTTTTCATATTTTAACATAATGTCAATTAAGTCAGGTAGATCTTTTCAGTGCATACCACGACGAGACTGCCAACAAATTTCCACATTTTGTCGTTTAAGGCCTAAACTAGTTCCACCAGGCCGTGATCTAGACGCGA